ATAAATAATGGTACCTGAAATACTCTTGGGTAAAATGCTACAATGGTATATTATCTGTGCGCTTGTAGATCCTTTTTATTCATAAATTTATTCTTCCTAGTCACATAATTAATAAAGAACTGCTTAGTATTATTCTAATAGTAATGCTATGTAGTACCAACAATCATTCCTTGTGTTGTTACTGGGGGCTAGATTTAAAACTCTGTTCTTAGTAGTGACACTAAGAAATGTCAACAACCATCTCTGGCATTATCACTAGGGATGAGAACCTAGTAAAGTAATGTTAGGAGATATAGGTTTATAATAGGTGACTACTAAACAAGTGACAAGTTAATAAATATCAATAGTACCCAATATTCGCAAGCTTATTTACACATTCTAGGACAGTATATTTTTGTGCAACAGCCTTATCAGGTGCCTTTACTCCCACCTCCGAGATTTGTACAACACCTCTACCCCTCCTAGCGGCGATGGAAAAGCCAACTCGACATTGGATGAATCGACCATTATCTACCTCAAAGCTCTCAACATCCACAACCTCAACCCCAAAATTCGAGAGTGTCTCTTTAAGCCAAATGATTGAGTCAATTACCTACGGTACATTTAAGAAACACATATATACATATTAGAACAATATATTGTGTATAAGCATAATTAAAACATATTGATTTATTGAAAACATATATCGTTGCTTACTTTTCTAGGATGATTGAACGGAACATTCGGCAACACTGGATCGAATCCACGAGTAATTGTATAGCCCCAACCTGGGACAATCGGTTCAGGGAGACGTCTAGCCATCTCTTGTCACTAAAGTTAATATATCAAAATTCATATCATTGGAGTCAATATATAAATTCATACACCAAAATTCATATATACCATTGATGTCAAAAATTTTCATATACCAAAATATCAGGCACTAAAGTATATATATCAAAATTCACATCTGTAAACCCTATATATCAAAATTCAAATAACTGGACCCTATATATATACACACAATGCATGCATATCATATATATATACAATATATAACACTAAAGTCAATATATCAAAATTCATATATATCACTGAAGTCAATTTCTTTCATATACCAAAATGCATATCACTAAAGTTATATATCAAAATTCACATCTGTAAACCCTATATATCAAAATTCATTTAACTGGACCCTATATATATACCAAATGCATATCATATATATACAATATATCACACTAAAGTCAATATATCAAAATAAATATCACCAAAGTGAGTATCTTTCTGCATATATATATATATCAAATTGTATCAAAATAAATCATAAAGAAAATACTAGTCAGATCGAATAGAAATAGTTAGGCAATTAGCTTAAGTTAGGGTGAGTGCTCTGTTTCACACAGCACAAAGGGATGGGAAGGGTTTGCAATACGAGTATTGCCACCTGGCGGCAGTCGACGACGAGGACGAGGGCACGCTGGGGAGGGGGACGAGGATGAGGTCGGCCGGAGACAAGGACGAGGGCGCAGCACGCACGCGCTGGGGAGATGAGGACGAGGGCGAGGCTGGCATGACCGAAAATGAGGATGAGGGCAAGGTCGGCCTGTCGCCGGAGGAAGAGGATGAGAGCGCCGCCGCCGCGCGCGTCGGGGAGACAAGGATGAGGGCCCGCCGCGCGAGCCATAGACGTGGGCGAGCCACGTGCGCCAGAGCTGAGGACGAGGGTGAGGCCAGCCAGCCACTGGAGGACGAGGACGAGGGTGCCGCCGTGTGCGCCAAGGAGACAAGGATGAGGTCCGACCGCGCGAGCCAAAGAAGAGGGCGAGCTACGCCCGCTGGAGCAAAGGGACGAGGGCGAGGCTGGAGCCGGAGAAGAAGGCGCTGTCAGACGGGTGCATGGCAGGGGTGGCGGCGCGGTGGAGTGGCAGATCCGGTGTTTGGAAGAAGAAAGAAGAAGAGAAGACACGAGTATATGTAGGGTCGGTACCCTTATGTCCCGAGTTAGGCCAACAACCGGGACTAAAAGGCCTTTAGTCCCGGTTGGTGGCCTCTTTAGTCCCGGGTTAGTCCACCAATTGGAACTAAAGGTCTTTTAGTCCCGGTTGTTGGCCCAACCCGGGACTAAAGTCAATTTTTGGTGTGCGGCGAAACTACTACCTACACGCCAGTTTCGTTTCTCGCCCATGCAACCGTTTTTTACATTTCCTTTAACATAAATAGGCTAAAAATTGGAAATTGCGTAGTAAAAAAATATAACTCAAATGAAAAAGTTATCAACTATAAAGTTGCATAACTTTTCGAGATATACAACTTTCATTCTGGTCATTTCTCCATTTGAGGATATTTTAAAAATTCAAAATTCAAATTTGAGAAATTCATACAGAGATTTTCTTGACAAAATGATTTTAAATCAAAAGGTTGTCAACTACAAAGTTGTAAAACTTTTCGAGATCTAAAACTTTTATTTTGGATATTTCTCCATCCGACAAAGTGGTAGTAAACATTGTCTTATTTTACATATCTCCCATATAGCCATAAACTATATGAGCGATATATAAATTTTGAACAATGTTTACTACCACTTTGTTGAATGAAGAAATGACTAAAATGAAAGTTGTAGATCCTGATTAGTTCTACAAGTTTTATGTTGATGAATTTCCCAGCTGAATTCATTTACTGCTTCAAAATGTTGTTTGAAGTTGCCATTTTTCTAGAATCAAATTTTGAATTGATAAAAACAAATTGACATGAAAACATGACCAAAATGAAAACTATAAGAACACAATAAATTTATAGAGCATGATTTTAGAAAATTTTAGAACAAAAATCATCAAATTTGAAGTTAGTATGACGGAGAAAGACCAGTTATAAGTTTTAACCAGAGATTAAAAAGAGAAATCAAACTTCTTTAAAAATTTAATTTCAAACATAATTTTGAAATAATAGATGGCTTCAAATGCAAAAGTTGTCAACTAAAAAGTCGTTTAACGTTTCGAGATCTATAACTTTTATTTTGGACATTTTTTCATCTAAGATCGTTTATGAGACGCATTCGACGTCGAAAACAATATTAAAGATCTTGGAGAACCTTAAAATAAATATTTGGGGTACATATACGATAACAAAGACCTAACAATAAAATTACATGTACGATAACAAAGACTTTTCTTTAAGTAGGTCAATGTTACAATCAAAGTATACCAACACATTATAAAATAACCACCACAAAAATATTCTTCTAGCACCAAAATAGGGTCAAATAGGTGCCAGAGGATGCCAGAGGTGGATGACGAACTACGCCTATTTAGAGATGAAGGGGGCGGTTGCGCGAGCTCCGATGAACCCATGCCTCTCAGAAGATAGTACATTCATGCCTTGGATGGATCCATCAACCTACGGATAGTCCATTCATGCCTTGCATGGATAGACAATCCGCAGACAGTCCAGAGCACACCGCATTTGATGGATCCATCAACGTAGAAGATAGCCCATGCAACAATTACGTTGCACGGGCGTCACACCGAGCTTCTCCAGGCTTCGGCGTTGCCTCATCTTCAAAAATATTCTTCTAGTACCTCTTGTGTACATCATTGCTAACTACGCGTAATAAAATTTGTATATGACGGGCTTTCTCCCACAGAGAGGCCATATATGTGGATAGGAAATTGGGCAAACAACAACAGATGAATTGGGCACAACACAACACTACATGTCATCGTGGGAGATGAATGACGCCTGAAGTGGCCGGTTTATAAGTGTGAGCAGCAGCGGTGGTAGTTGGGATAAGTGGTGATCGCCCTGCTGTGGTAGGTGGGAGCAGTGGAGGACTTTTAGTCCCGGTTTGTAACTACAACCGGGATTAAAAGTACCCTTCAATCCTGGTTGGTAGTACCCTTTAATTTTTTTGTTTTTATTTCTCTGTTTCTTTATTTGCATATGCATTTCAATCCTACACGAGTTAAATTTCAATCCATACAAACATAGTTATGATGTCCATATAAATAAACCTAATGAAACATAATTAACTTGCATACAAACATAATTAAAATGTCCATACAAATAAACCTAATTAAAGTACATATCCGTTCGAATAAACCTAATTAAATAGAATAATATGAATAAACCTAATTAACACATGAACCTTACAAAAACCGGCCGCAGCTCTAGCCTGTCTCCACTACCAGTAGTGTATGTCTCGGACTGTGTAACCACGGTCATTGTCTATGTAATACAAGGCCCACACTAAAACACTCTCCATTACCTCACAACGCCGAAGACATGGTATCCCAAAGATGTAGCCTACTAACGGACTATAGATGGCTGGGTTCTGCCTAAATCTCACACAACACTCGATACCAGCTGTCGTCCTCTAGCCTATCGCTTCCATGAAGCCCCAGGCGTACCCCAGTCGCTTAATAGCTTGCGTGAGAATGGGCTACAAGCCACATGTAGCATAGGTGAAATCATAGAGCAAAACTTAAAATATTCCATACTATTGATGGGTCTGGGTGACGTGGAATGGCTCTGTCTGGCGATGGTGTGAATGGAAGATCACCGGGGTGAAAACCTGGTTCCTGTGGAGGAGGTTGGGGCGAGCGGCTTGTCAAGGTCGGGGTCATGTGCAGGCGCATGAAGGAAGAAGGGAAAAGGATAAGGTAGAGACATATTTTATATGGACCCTCCATTTTTATCTAAGGGTCAAACAAATTATGGGATGACTGTCCTTGGACTACTCATTTGAGCGGTTCTTGGGCTCTCTTTTTTATTTGTTTTTCTTGTGGCGATCGTGCAGGCCCTTTAGTTTCTTATTTCTTAGTTGTTTTTTCCACTGTGTTTTCTCCAGGTGAATTTGGAACAATGGCTAAGTTGTTTTTCTAGACGCTAAGTCGCTTGTTTTTTTCACTGTACCTTGCAATATAATTGCAGAAAATCTCTTGCTGCACATTCGGGAAAAAAAACTTATGTTCAAAACGGTTGTGAAAATTTAGCTATGTACAATTGGGAGGCCTGAACTACTTTCATTTCATCGGGACGGATGTCATGCTGGACTGAGTGGTGCCGGTGCCGCCTGTCGTAACCGAAGACGTGTAGTAGAAAGCATCAGGCGGCGGCATGTAGGTCGCCACCGGCATCCTCGCCGGCAGGCTTGGCAGAGGCGCCTCCACCCGCAGCACGTTGACAGCCTGCCTGATGGACGGTCGCAGGCTCCGGTCAGGGTGCGCGCACCAGAGCCCGACGAGCATCACCGTCTCGACCTCCCGGGCGTCGAACTCACCCTTCAGCCGCGCGTCGGCGACGTCGAGGATGGCTCCCCTGCCGTAGTACTCCCACACCCACTCTACAATGTGGACCACGCCCTCGCCTTCTTCCCCACGGCGAGCCGCCGCCACCACCATGGGCCGCCGGCCGCAGGCGATCTCGAGAAGCACGACGCCAAAGCTGTAGACGTCCGACTCGGCGTCGGCCCTCCCGGTGATGACGCACTCGGGGTCCATGTAGCCCATCGTGCCCGCGACCACCGTCGTGTGCGAGCCGCGGTCGTGGTCGACGAGCCTGGCGAGGCCGAAGTCGCCGAGCCTGGCGTGGAAGGACGCGTCCAGCATCACGTTGCTGGGCTTGATGTCCCTGTGCACAACGCACTGTTCCCACTCCTCGTGCAGGTAGAGCAGCGCCGAGCCTAGCCCCAGCGCGACGTCGTGCCGGCGCGGCCATGGCAGCAGCGTGTCGTCGGCGTCGTCGCTGCCACTACTGTAGAGATGCTTGTCGAGGCTTCCGTTGGGCATGAGCTCATACACGAGGAGGAGGTCGCCGCCGCCGCGGCACCAGCCGACGAGCTGCACCAGGTTGCGGTGTCTCAGCCGGCTGATGATCCTCACCTCCGTGGCGTACTCTTTCCTCCCCTGCTTTGAGCCCTTGGACACTCTCTTGATGGCGACGTGAAGGTTCATCTCCTTCAAGAATCCTCTGTACACCGATCCAAATCCTCCTTCCCCGACCTTCCTGTCATTGGAAAAGTTGCCGGTGGCAATGGCGAGCTCGCCGTAGCGAAACCGCTTCGGCCCTGTCCCTTTCTCGAACTCGTCTTCCATCTCCGGCTCGTCATCATCAAAGAAATCACACTGTTCCCGCTCTTGCTCCCTCGCTTCCTCACGAAATCTATCCTTTTCCCGCCGTCGCCGGATAAGGAGAAACGCGAACAAGCCCAGGGTGACCAGGACGGAGACCAAACTGACGGACATGCCCACCGCGACGACCCCTGTCTTGGACGAAGACGGAGGCTTTGCGGGGGAAAAAGGCCCTGGAACTGCCTGTGGTGACGGCGGGTGAGCCGGACCTGTACCAGGAACCGCCTGAGACGGCGGCGGCGCCGGCTCCGGTGGCAGAGTGACGTCGAACGCGCCCACCTGGTACCGCAGGTAGCAGCTGTACCCCCTGAGGGCACCGAAGATGTTGTTGGGGAACAGGCTCCACAGCCTGTTGGCGTAGCTCGAGATACACCTGTTGCACTCGCTGGCGTTGAGGTCCCTGGTGCACTGCGCCAGGCCGTACATCCGGCCCTTCTGCGGCCCCGAGTACGGCGTGCTGTCGTTGGAGATCCGCAGCGGCGAGGTTTCCATGCCGCCGGCGAGCTTGCACATCAGGGGCACCCAGGCCGCGCGCACCGCGTCCGAGGTGTTAGGCGTGGCGATGGAGACCGGAGGCTCGTAGTCGAGGTCCGCGGCGTCGGGAATCGGCGCCGCCGAATACCGGAGCACGCACGTGTCGTACACCGCGTTCACGCTCCGGCTGCCCGGGCACGCCGCCGTGATCCCGGCCAGCGCCCTGGAGAGGCAGTCCAGGCACTCGGACGCGTCGCTGTCCGCGAAGCACATGATGAGGCCGAACACCGCGTCGGTCCCCGCCCCGACGCTGCCCTTGTAGAACCCGCCGTTGTCGCCGGCCGCCGCGGGGAGCGCGGCCAGGAACTGGTCCAGGTTCTTCTTGTATTGGCTGCCGCCCGTGTAGTTGCCCGTAGTCGAGCAGGATGCATAAGCCGGCTCCATGGTGCTGTTGTCCTGCCCTGATGCCGCAACGACGAGGAAGACAAAGGTGGCGAGGAGGAGGAGAAGGCAGGAATCCATGGCCGGGGACGCCCTTGACCTCTGTTGCTTGTCACCCCCTTTCCTCCTCGTGCATGACAAAAGGACTCGATCGTGCATGACAAGAGGAAGACAGAGGTGGTGAGACGAAAAAGGAGAAGGCAGGAAGCCATGGCCGGGGACGCCTCTTTTCTCCTCGTTAGTTGTTCTTTTCGTGCATGACAAAAGGACTCGGCATCTCTGTCTACTGTCTCCTCGTTAAAGCAGGTACGTAGAAATCTAGAGCTCAAACAAGTACTCTTTCACAGAGTACCCTGTCAATGGACTGGAACAACAATGAGCTTCTTGCAGGGTTCGGGATCCGTTTGGAAGTTTCATAAGGGTGGTTAGAAAGGTCCGTAAGCTAAGGGAGAAGTGTACTGGTCTTTGTTAGAAATTTAGGCAATTTCAGTACCGAAAATTTTTTGTTCACCGAAATTTTTTTAGACTAGCACATGAAGTATTCTTTTTCTAGAAAAATTTAGATCTAAACAAATATTAGCATGATTTATGACTCAACACCTATTGAATAGAAGAATATGCAATATAAATAATAAAAAAATATGAGTCAAGAGTTATATAGCACATGTAGTATATTACAAAATTTCGGATTTTTCTTTACGCCACCACCGAAATTCGTGAAATTTCAGCAAAATTTCGCCGAAATTTGAACCCTGTTTGTGTCATCAGACATGTGCACGTGTGATCTAACCATAATGAACATGTACATGATACTGATCATCATGATCTTAATCGCTGAAAAAAGAGGACGAGATGCAACATACCCACCGGCACCAGAGCCGACGCTAGTTGACATAGCAGTTGTTGGTGTACTCGTCCGGCTCGATGCCGTGCAGTAGCTTTGCAATGCCGATCACCAGCGCCGGGATATTTGGAAAAAGTCATGGATCGATCGAGCAGTCGTGTCGTTGCTCCCCAAAAACCTGATGGCCACTCTTCACCCGAGCAGATGAACGCAGAGACGAAATGGTTTCGGAGGCCTGCTCTCTCTATTCCTGTGCATGCAAGAACCCGGACGCGAGCAACACAACAGAAGTGAAGTAGTGTTTTTGGTTGTCTCTTATCGCTTGCGAACAAGAGAAGCAATCCCCTTTTTATGTAGCAACTAACGTAACGAAGATGAAGAACTACACACATGAAGAGATAACGGTCATCATAGTGCGTCTTTATTACTTACTTACGAAACTAACAAATCAATTGTATGTTACTAGTAACGAAAACCATTAAGACATCATGACCCACTAGCATATAATGGTCATCATGCACTTTATGCTCATCAAACCGTCAGTTACACTGCATAAAGGACCCATGCATATTACACATAGCATTAACTATAGTCTTGGAATTATTCTTTGATTTAATTATTGAATAAAAAAGGACTTGTCCAATTAAATCCAACAATCCCCATCAAATTCTAAGACAGAAAAATGCTCTCAATTCTACTGATGTTTGATATACCAGTTTTTAAATGGAGACTATTAAATTGAACATACATTTAGAACAGAGGTTATACTTCTTCTGGCAACCTGAACAATGGACTATGCCTTGAATTGACAGTTTTGTGCGATATAAGTTTCACCAAAGTACTTTATTGGTACAAGGCTTCCTAAAGCATCCCCTCTGGTTCGAGCATATAAGTCAAACTCTTGAGCCTTTCATGAGTATCTAGAGATTACCCACATCTCAAAGACCGTGACTATTAGTCAAACTCATATAGGTGTGTTCCTTCTAAGATATTCTATAGGACAAAATCTCTGCTTAAATAAGCCACTTAGATCACATTAAGGTATAAACCAACCTGCCATACAACATAGGAGAAATGTGCATCTCAAACGATCTAGACCTTATTGTAAGGGGTCTCTCCATCATAGTCAACCACTAGCTTGTTTCACCATCTTACTTCACGGGATCTCCAATCACATAGAACAGGTTACCACTATGGAATGACTTCACGTGGGTCTCAAGCCCATCTCCCTTGATGGACCTTCTATCACATTGCGTGACAGTCCCTTTGTAAACTGATCTGCTAGATTCTTAGATGTATGGACATATCCAATGCTATTACTTTAGAGTTTCTTAGTTTTCTAACAGACTTTAACTGCCTCTTCACATGCCTTGTTGACTTCATGTTATCTTTAGAACTGTTCACTTTGATTATCACAGTTCATGGAAATAGCCGGCGGTATCGATTTTTTCAACTACCTGTAAATCCATAAGTTCATGGAGCCACCCGGCCTCAACAGTGGCGGTATCTAATGCTATGATCTCCTTCCCTTGTTGACCTCGTTAAGATGGTCTGCTTGTAAGACTTCCATACAATAGTGTCACCTCTAAGTGAGAACACATATCCACTTGCGAAGTAAATCTCATCAGCATCAAATATCCAAATTGCATCACAATAACGCTCTAGTATCCTTGATACCCAGTATAATGAATTTCATTGCTCACAGTCCCTTTTAGATAGCGCAACACCCTCTTAAGAGCATGCCAATGATCATCTACCAGATTTGAAATGAACTAGCTAAGTTTGCTCTCAGCAAATGAGATGTTAGGCATCGTTGCACTAGCTAAATACATAAGTAAACCAATAATTTGAGAAATATCTCAATTGATCTCGTGCTATTATGTGATTTTTCCTTAACAGCACACTTGAGTCATAATAAGGAGTTGCGGCAGGTGTGCTATCACTATAACCAAAACAACTCAACACATTTTCCACATAATGGGATTGCATAAGTGTTACCCCGCTATTTCCTTCTCTAAGTAACTTTATGTTAAGAACAACATTAGCCTATCCCAAATATTTAATCTCAAAGTTATTAGAGAGAAATTCTTTCACTTCCTTAATCACATTAATATTATTTCTAAAAATTAGTATATCATCCAGATATAAGCACAAGATCACACCTTCTCCCCCACCGTACCGATACTAAACATATTTATCAACTTTATTCATAACAAAGCTGACTGATGTCAAAGTTCTGTCGAACTTTTTGTGCCACTCCTTAGGTGCTTACTTTAGGCCATACAAAGATTTCAATAACTTACACACCTTTTCCTCTTGACCATTTGCTACAAATCCATCAGGCTGATCCATATAGATCTGCTCCTCAAGTTCTCCATTCAAGAAAGTTGTCTTAACGTCCATCTGATGAACGAGAAGACCATTTGAGGCAGCCAAGGAAAGTAAAAATCGTATCGTCGTCAGACGGGCAACTGATGAATAAGTATCAAAATAATCTTTGCCTTCTTTCTAGGTAACCCATAGCCACAAGCCTTGCCTTGTACTTCTCAATAGTACCATCAAGTCTAAGCTTTTTCTTGAACACCAATTTATATCCCATGATTTGCACCCGTAAGGACAATCGACCACCTCCCAAGTTCCATTAGAAAATAGAGTCCATCTCACTTTGAACAGCTTCCATATGTCGTCGTCCAAGAGATGAATATGCCTCTTCTACAGTTTTAGGAGTGTCATCCATGAGGTATATAATATAGTCCTCACCAAAAGACTTTGCAGTCCTCTGTCTCTTACTCTTTTGAGTGACTATATTATTATCCTCATGATTTTCCATATGGGTTTCAACATCAGCATGCTCTATCGGTTCATACAACCGTGGAAGTGTTATAGAATCATGACTAGAAGTGCTAGCTATATTTTTCATAGGAAGTTCATTCTAAAAAATAAAGAATCTCTAGATTCCATAATTGTACCAATATTCACATCAAACACTTTAGAATTTATTATTAAAAATATATAACCCATGCTGTGAATAGGATAATCGAGAAAGACACAATCAATAGTTTTTTGGTCCAAGCTTTTCCTTTTTGTTTATTAGCACATTCGCATTTGCCAAACAACCCTATGTTCGCATGTAAGAAAGATTTAATCTCTTCTTCTCCCATTCCTCAAATAGTGTAATTTCTTTGCTCTTTGTGGGCACTCTATTCAGGACATGACACACTGTCAAAATTGCCTCACCCACCATTCCCTAGATTGGCCCGCTATCTCTAACATGGCGTTAACCAACTTAGTAAGAATGCGGTTAAACAATCCCATTGGTGAGTACGGCTGTGTCCTCCAATGAATAATATCATGCTCCACACAAAACTCTAAAAATTCATTTAAGAAATATTCTCCTCCACAATCGATCCGTAACCGTTTATTTTTCTTCTCAAGTTGGTTTTCTACCTCCTTATAGATCTTAAAATAATGCAACACTTCATTTTTTGAGTTTAAGAGATACACATAGCAAAAGCTAGCACAATCATCTATGAATGTCATGAAATATCTTTTGCCATCTTCAATTTGGTCAACTCGTGCCATTCATTTCACACAAATCAGAATGGATTAGTTCGAAAATGGTGCCAAGTCCCTCACCAAAGCAGCTTTGTGAGGTTTGCGAGGTTGCTTCGATTGCACGCATACATGCCACTTAGAACCCTTGACCAAATCATATTTTAGGATTAAACATATCAGCTAAGCAAGTCAAACAATCAAAATTTAAATGACAAAGCCATGAATGCCAAACATTTGTCTCATTATTGTGGCTCACATGGTTCATAGAATTAAAACAAGCATATGTTAAAGACAAGCAGAACAAGCCTTCGCTGTCATAGCCTTTACCAATAAAAATTTCATACTTAGAAAGTATACACTTATTCGACTCACACAAGTTTATAGTATTCTCGACACAACAACAAACTACTAATTAAATTCTTTCTTATTGAGGGGACATGTTGCATGTTCTTCAGTTGCACAGTCTTTTCTGAAGTAAGCTTTAGATCGACCGTATCAACACCACGAACAACCGAACGCTCCATTCCCCATCAACAAGGAGGAACTTCTCCTGATCTAATAAGAAGAAAATAAAAAAATATAAGCACACACATGAATATTGACACCAGTGTCCACTACTATAAAAAAACATAACCGATGCATTTGGCAAATGGGCTCCGAGGCGGGCAGACATTTCAACCGC